TATACTTGCACTGGAGCCGCAGTCGAGCTTTTCTCATTCAAATCCAGCGGCGGCGGCAACGACCCCGACGTTGACAACAGAAACGCCCATTGCAGTGCCCTCGTTGTTGGTGACATGAAGCTGAGTCAATAGAGTGGAGTAAAGTGAAACACAACAACTCACTATGTGTAAACAACTTGAACGGGAAAGTGCACCAACTCCGACAAACAAATGCACTGTTCAGGCAGATCATTCAGTCGTTGTGCTGCGTAAATGTTGAAGAAGCACGAGCCCTCCTCCTGCCAATCATTGCGCAAATCAGCAACCAATTCCACCACCTACCTTCACCAGCCCCATCGACACCACATACTTCCTCGACTGCTCGTCATAGAAGGCCTTTATGCACACTATGTCAGCAACTAAAGCGCACGTCAGTAGACTGAGGAGAAAAGCTACCAGGAAGGTACATGAAATCGAAGGATTTGGTGGATGTTGTGAGACATTTGCCACCCGACTCAAAGGAGTAGAGATTGCAGCAGCGTGCAGAGGAGGAGGTCTCGCCACCAGGAAGTAGGGAGGCAACAAGGATATCGTGTTTGCGACAGCACCTTTCTTCCCCGCGATCAATGGAAGATTGGGAGGGGATGTGGGTGAGACTGTGGACAGTGCCTTGACCCACAGTGGGGAAGAAGGCGATTTCCTTGTAGAAACTGAAGTCGTTGAGAATAGAAGGGGGAGACTCTGTCATCAATACCAGAATGCAGAAGAAACCAACACAGTGAAGTTACCGTTTACATAGCCTAGTACCGATCACCACAACGCAGCGACCGGGATTCGAGTAGCGCGGATGAATTTTTCTGACCTACGTCATAATCTTAAGTATAATTTTTGTTTTTTTACTGAGGTCAGGTTATGTTCTAATAGCTAGTAAGCGGCATAATTTTAAGGGTTAATTTTTATCTGGAATGTCTTTGTACAATTTTATTTTTTAGGGCAACATTTTTTTGTGGTACTTGCTTTAACTTTGGGAATTTAGTATTAATTCGCGAGAGATATACACACATAGGTTGTATATGTTTTATATTTTACCTAATTAACTTCCGCAAATGAAAGCAGTTATTCTGTTATTGCTTTACCTTATCGCATTTTGATCCTTCCTTCAGATTTTGTATGTTTTTTCGAAGATAGGGATACTTTATCTTTCAACAACAATTATTGCTTGTTTATTAGTTGAAATACAATGCCGCTCGAAAGTTTTGTGGGCTGATAGCCTGTTTGTACCGTTGATTCTGATCATCACGTTTTTGCTGCAACGATGGCTGACCACTGTAGATTCCGTATTCTTTTGAAGAATGTTAATGTAAATACAAAAATTGTATGATCCTCTTAAAATATTTACCTTTCCTTCATTTAGAGTGAAATAAAGAAGTTTTTTAAACCTATTCGCGTCAGGGATGCCAAAATACTAAAACGAGGTATTTCTGATATTCCTCGAGCTGACGTGCATAATGTAGGTGTTGCTGTCGTTTATTTTAGATCAAAAAGGGATATGGATGTTTCGTTAGGGAAGCAGGGTAACATTCGTGGATCTGCGATCACGATCATTCCTTATGAAAACGACTTATTTGTCGATGCACCCAAACCGGATTTACATAAACCTGTTTGGGATCCCGTCCCGATCGAAGAACTTCGACGTGAAATAAAGGAGGTACATACTAAGCCATTGTGTGAGTTTGCCTTAGACAGGTCGGCTATTCGTGCGGAACTTAGCATATGACTGCACGGAAGCAGAGTTGCTGGACCTCTTCTCTTCATGTGGTGGGTTTGACGAATTTTATTGACATTGCTTTATGCTCAGGCACCGTGAGTGAGATTCATCTGAGTTTTGATGTGCGGTTGCAGCGTGGCAAGGGTTTCGCCTTTGTAACGTACCTGTTTCCGGATGAGGCGTTGGTGGCCTTCAATAAATTGGACAAGTCCAAATTTAAGGTGAGCAAGTGTTGAAGGACGGTTGATGTCTAAGTGGGTGTGTGTTGTGTAGAATCGTTTGCTGCACATTTTGCCGGGAAGACCGAGGGAAGTGGAGGAGGCGGGGGATGTGGAGAGAGGTGGTGGAGGCGAGAGGAGGGTGGAGGAAGGTGAGTGTGCGAATGAGGTGGACGAGGCAATAATGTCGGAGTTTCAGAAGAAGCGGCAGTCTGAGTTGAAGTCGATGGCCTCGGTCAGTCACAACTGGAATACGCTGTTTGTCAGTGCGGATGCGGTGGCCACCTACTTGTCGGCGCGGTTTGGCGTCTCGAAGGTGAGTGATTGTGGAAGTGGAGGATGTTGGTGAGTGGTGTGAGTGATCACTTTTCCGTTATTCGGTGGTGATGCTGGCTGGAGAGTAGGTTATTGCATGTTTTACACCAGTTGGGAAAGGTTAGTGGATGAGTGCTTGCTTTGTTCTTTATTCATACATGCTGGCTAACCTTAATGGCGTGCGCGGATATGTAGTACATTTGTGGTGTGTTTGTTGCACGTGTTAGTGGATGAGTGCATTCGTATTGGCAAGTGGATGGAGATTGTTGTATTTGTGCTGCATTGCTTGGTGAAGGGGTGTGGAAATAGGTGCAGATTTTTGGGCTTTGCTCTGTTTATCGTGATTGTCTTTTGGGTTGGTGTCGCATGAGAGGTGGTCTGCGTTATGGTGTTGAGGTGCGAGTTATCTGTATTATGATGAGTACAAGTATGATTAGTATAAGTAATCGGTTGGATGGGTTGGCTTGCTGCTGCGTCGATGCTAGCGCACAGGTTGAGGATTGGTAGTAGTGTTTGGCATTGGTGAGCAGTGATTGGTGGTAGCGTCGAGTGATGTTTATGTGTTGTATGGTTAAGTAGTTAATTGTTGTATTTGCGTGTGGAATGTTGGAGAAGGGCGGAAGGAGGGTGATGGGCCGCCTGACACGATGAAGGAGAAGTTGAATGAGTGGGTGGTTGGGTGGGTTAGAGTTGATGATTGGGTTACAGTTGTGTCTGTGAAAAGTGCAAAGGTGTAGTGTTCTGCTAGGGGTAAGTGGCTGTTGATGGAGTCATGTAAGGTGGCAGGGTCGTACAGGAATGGTGTCGAATTGCTTGAACCAGGGATGCTAGGCTGTCAACGCAGCTTGACGACCTGCTGCTGAGGCAGTTGGTCTTGGTCCATGCATGTAGATGTGGTCCTTCTTGGTAGGTGTTTTGTCTCACGAGGAACCAATGTTGGCATGAACCTGAGAGGAGGTGGGTTACTGTGGTGAAGCTGTAAAAGCGGGGTTGCCTCTTGTACGTTAGTGGTCGCAAGGATAGAGATTTGTTAGTTCTGTAAGGAGGAGGGAAGTGGAGGTGGGCGGTTTGGTAGGCTAACACAGCAGTGGAGAGTGGGAGGAGAGTGGTCTCATTGGTATTGGTGTGGAGGCTGAATTAGAAGGAATCGGAGAGGTTGGTGTTACGGGCTAGCGTTGGCGTCGTATGTTGCTCATATGAATTAAGTAGGAGTGATATTTGCTTGTATGTGATCGTGGGGTGTGGGAGGTTGTGTTGGAAGAGAGGGAGTAAATGCTGTCTGTGATAGATGGTTTGTTGTTGTTTTAGGAGCGGCTTCTGGACGCCACCAGTAAGGAGTCGGCGGCTGTGCGAATAGCACATGGGGAAGCGCAAGTGGTGCACGAAATTCGGGATTTTCTGCAGCGTCACGGTGTACGTCTTGAGCTTCTGAGTCCTGCGTCAGGTTATGAGGGTCGGAGGGATAAAGCGGAGTCGCAGGCGGCATCAACACATCGTCAAGTATCGGGTAGTGTGTTTTTGATAAAGAACTTGCCTGTGGGAACGAAAGAAGAGGAGGTGGCGAGTCTTGTGCACCAGCGAACGTTGAAGGGTGCGCATTCGTTGGATCCGCCACGAAGGATATTGGTGCCGCCGCTGGGAATAACGGCAATTGTGGAGTATGCAATGCCTCAAATTGCGCGGTTGGCGTACAAGGCGCTTGCCTATGAGCCGGTGCGTCTATCAATGAGTTGATTGGCAGTGCAGTAAAATGTGCCAAATAATAGGTTTTTTGGGAAATGTTAGGTGTGTTAATTAAATGACAGCTTTAGTTGCTAAGAGGTGTCGGCTTTTAAGTGGTTCAGTGTTCTTTCTTGTTGAGACTTTGTTAAAGCTTGTTGCGTTGGGATAGGGGAAAACAAAAGTAGGTGACTGATGAATCAGTTTGAGTTTGGTAGAAAGTGCCGTAGACAGGTGTCTAGTTGCCTTATATTTTGCTTATGAGAACGGTGGTGTTGAGTTAAAATATCAGTAGTTGGTGAGGCGAGTACGTTGTTTGCTGTTTTTGAATGGAGAAGGTGGTAGCTCTGCTGTTCGGTGAGGGATTGCCTTGAAAAGGGTGGTTGATTGCGGCTGACACTTGATGTCAATTCGAGTGACGTGTTTATTTTCGCGCTTTTTAATTGTCACTAGTACAAGGGCAACATCCTCTATGTGCAGTGGGCTCCAGAAGGAATTCTTTCACCACCAGAAAGCCGGCTTGGAGATGAGGACGAAGAGCGTGGAAAGGAGAGACTGCGGAGCGCGTCTGACGTGTTCGTAGTACTTTCAATTGTCAATTCGTTTAAGGTGTATTTGTTTTTTGTGTGAATTGATAATTTTAAATTGTGGTTGGGTGAGTGATGAAGGTGCAATGGTTGGGAAGCTGTAATTTAGGGGAAAGTGTGCCAAGCAAAGAAGTTCTTTGTTCGATTGTGGAAGTATTTAACCCATTGTAACTGTTATCCTTTGAAACTTATCCCCGATCATAGTGAGTGTCCTTACCTAGACAGGGGAAGGTGTTGTTTTTGAAGTTATCGTTGTACGAATTGGTGCTTTTAACAAAAAAATTTTTACGATCGGCGTTTGGGTCAGCTTGATGTTTGACAACTCTCTAGTTGAAAGTGTCTCACAGATTTAATCGATTTTGATTTTGAGATATTTTATTATAATTCTTTTAGGTCCTCTCATGAAGATGTGAAAGCGAAATTTGTCGATCTTATTGATGCGGATAAGGTTGATGAACCAAACAACTTTGATGTGGATATTATGAATGAGGATGATTTCAGGTAACATTTTTTTTTTCGAATCGTGACATCTGAAGTAGCAGTATGAAAAGTGTGGCCTTATCATCTTCCATGCATTTTATGCCTTTTTGCCCAGTTGATCAAAGAAGCAACGGCAGTTGTGTAGGAACTAAAAGCATGTGGGAGGTGAAAGGCAAATGAAATTCTGCTTTAATGACATTCCTAGTCGTTGTTATTTCACTGACAGTTACATAGTGTAATACTTTGCCTTTTTTACTGTTAAGTGAAGTAAGTTAGGGGTGTAAGTTCATTTTGCTGACAATGACTGCAACTCGTCACACCACTTGTCTGCATTCAAACAATCTGTTAGGTATTTGTAAAATCCTAAAAGGTTTCCATGCTTACCGTTGTTTCCTTGAGTCTGCTGTTTTGTTAATCCCGCTATCCTTTTTACGATCACTTTAGAGGCTCGAAGAAACGCCAGAGTGGAATAAAGGAGGGTGCTGATGTTGGTGCAAAAGTAGTGGAATTGAACGGACATGAGAAGTTCGCTTTTATTTCCGTGTTCATCTACCCTACTTGCCGCTTCATTTGTGCATACTTTGTCTGTTTCCTTTATCCTTCTGTTTCCGTTTTTATCAAACCGTTTTACTTTTTTTCCTTGGTGGTAATTCGTATAGTTTTGTGCCTCTTGTTAATTGTACCACCCATTCTCATTGTCTAGAGCTTCGAGAGGACGCAAACGCAAACGGGAAGGGATCAGAGATGCTGTACAAGTTTCGAACAAAGTTAAAATCGGGTATGAACAAAATTAGTTCTAATTTTTACTCCTTAATCTATCGCTTTTCGCATTTTTATGCCTTCAAATCTAAAAATAAGTTCTCATCTCCTCTGCTCTATCGCACACTATCACAACCCTTATTTCTCGGAATCTTACTCGGTTCATTTAGCCTTTGAAGGCGTTGCTAACTTCCCACAGTGACATTGCATCCCTTTCTTTCCTTCACTAACAACTTTCCTTAAATTTGACTCTGCGACGATAATACAGGCACCTGTATAGACGATTGGAGGAATGCGAATGTTTACGGCCTTGATTAAATGGCTTGAGAATGTTGCCTCAAATAGCCGTGCCTAGGAGAACTGGATATCTGGTTTGTATGCATGCACGTACATTGGAGTGTGTTAATTCCTACAAATGCCAGAGAACAAAAGCCTCTAAAACTAGTCTCTTTCGCTTCTCCCTCTTCTTTGAACGTTGGTAGAACACACCACCTAACCCAAAGGACCGTTTGCTGCCTAACTGATTGTAGTTTGGTGAATGATTGCTTCACTCGCAGATCAAACGACTCCCTGCACTCACCAGCCTTTTTAAAAGTCTGTTCTATACCTCGTGTTTCTGGTGGCAAAACGTAGCTTGTCTTTCATTTCGCAACGAAAGGGATAACTCATGCCAAAATGGATGAAGGATACCACTTTGCTCCTGTCTTAATGTCTTGTTGATGCGACGTAACATATAGTGGTGCACCACTTCAATCGAATCTTTTGTAGTGTCGCGTTTTACAATACTGAAGGCAAATTTGTTTGCTCCTTTTGCTGTCATCTCTCATCCCATCCTTTCCGTCTCCTTGTTTGCATTTCTCTCTAGCTGCAGCAAGAAATTGAAGCGGACTGAAGGTAGTGGTGGTGGAGGTGAGGATAAAGAAGAGTTTTCAATTGTCCGAAATCCGGCTGAAGTAGAGGTGTCGGCATCATCGTCATTGGCACTCGAGGGGCCTCACTTGACGTCACAAAGGAAGCCGATGGAGGTGGAGGAGCATGGGCGAGTGGTTTTGGTGCGAAACGTGGCCTTTCAGGCCAACCAGAGTGAGGTGACCGCTCTCTTCAAACCCATCGGTGGGTTGGTCAAGGTGCGGATGCCTCTAAAGCCCTCCGGTGGTCATCGTGGTTTCGCTTTCGTGGAATTTGCTACCGAAGATCAGGCTAAGGTGCGTCGGAAGGCTTACACACGAAGGAACGTTTTTCGCTCCTCATCCTCTCATGAGGGTGTGTTACTGTTCACACATTGTTCGTCTTCTTGTTGTGTTTGCAGAGTGCGATGGAGACGTTTGGGGTGAACACACATTTGATGGGACGGCGGTTGAATATGGAGTACGCGAGGTCGGATTAATGCATGCGTAGTGTTTGCATCGACCATCTTAGTGCCTGCGACTTTGTACAAAAGTGGTGTATTTTGACTCCGAATTTGTGGTTGTTTCCTCCTTCTCCTGTGCGGCTGTTTCCGTTGTGAGGGATGAGGAATGAGGAGTAGTTATGAGCCTAGCGTAGTGTGACAGGTTTTGATTCCTTGAAGTCGCCACCTATAGGCCGGTTTGTAGGCGTGGCTGTAGTTGTGGAGTCGGTTGTAAATTTGTTGCCTTAAGCAAACTTGTGACTGGTTGAAGATTATTTTAACTCATTTATTTCGAGAGTGAAGGGTGAGGGGTGGCTGAGTGTATTCCTGCGTCACGAGCCTGTGGTCAATCTGCTTTGACCTGGTAGCAGGTCGAATGAACTGCGTTGGCACCTCGACTTCCTGTTCAACAACTCTTAATGATGCAGTATTTGGATATCGTGAGTGCTTTTCAGTTGTCAAACACTCCATTCTGGCTAATCATGGGCTTTGCTTAGTTTTGTGAATTGTAGTGCTCCGCTTCACTTGTGCATCAGTGAGGAGGGGGGGAAGGGAAGGACGCGGTGGGTCCTGCCGGTTATAGTTCTTCATCTCCGCCATACTAGTTCTTCATTATTATTGTTCCAATTATTAGTATTTGGAATGTTTTCCACCAAAGAGAGAAGATTGGCAACAAAACTCCAACCCTGCATCAATAAATGACCTTTGTCAATTTTCACCTCTCAAGTAATACTGCATGCATTCTGCATGTAAGCCAAACTCTGTTGAAGGGTTGCGTTCTCGCCAGTTCCTTTGAAAGGTAAAACGACGGACTTTACTTATATGAAACACACATCTTACGATTAAACGATTTCAGTCAATATGAAGACTTAAAAGACAGGGAGTTGAAGGTGGCCATCTTTAGAATCAACTACGCGTTTTTACTTTAATCCATTACTACTTGTTAGCCCACTACAAATGTGTCAAAATCTTCTCGCTGATATATGATGTTCATGGCATTTTGAATCAGGTAGTGTCGTGCAGGTGGCTACAGATAATCGGGATGGTAAGTCGTCGGGAACGTAATTCGCGATTTACAAGTCTTACACTTTTATGTTATCGAAGGTGATAACATCATTTCCAACTCCAGTCTATGCGTTATCTCAACTTACCAAAATGCGGAACAAATTGCAGGTCTCATCAGTCAAATGCTAGCAAGGTTGAAAGCAGACGAGCAGAAGTCGCTGATCCACTCGCCCCATTAACCTCGCTCTCGTCTCCCTCCACCCGACTGCGTGAAGGAGGCGATAAAGTAGTAAGTCACCATCACATTCCCTCCTCCTTCTCCGCCTCCTCTCCCTCTGCACCCTCACCCTCACCCTCATCTCACCCTCTTCATCCTCATACACCACAACTCAACAAAAGAACTGTGTCGAGTATGTGAACATTCGGTTTGGTTGACATTAGACAAGGCACTCGAGCATTGGCCAACAGGACAAACTAGCATGTGTGTGCAACGTCTCAAGGAAACAAGCTTTCACGAAAGTAGCGACTATTTGCCGAACAATCCAGCCACACTTAGCAACGGACCAATCATCACCTTTGCGAGTCACTAGACCTTTGGGACATTGAGCACGAAAAGCTGCACCGCATTTGTTACCACCCGCGAAAAGAGGGTATCATCGGTTGGACGCGATTTGGTAGAGGATGGCATTGCGAGTTGGTCAACACCCTTCGCCATTTGTTGACCAATGCGTCCATTGTGGCAGGGATAGTGGAGACGAGACTTGCTTCGCGCGCTCATCGTCATTAGTGCCTGCGTGCTTGCCGAACACAAACCGTCGCCTCCATGTATAATGATAATCCGCCTACCGAATTCGTAGTCAGCCTCCATAATGTCGCAACCGTGAGGCAATGTGCAAGGTAAATGTAATTAGGTGCACAGCAGTAGTTGAGAAGACAAGATTCTCGCTTATGACCTGCAGGCACTCTCAGGCGCTCCTTACACCTCCTCAGCCGGCTTAAAGGCAAGGCATAGACGAGCAAAATACGAAGTTTGGTTATTTTAGCAGTGAGGAAATAATGAGATCCTGATTAGTACGTGTTCTGTAAAACTGTACCTCTTTCCAACAACGTGAATCCTATTAATCATAACCATCGCTACTAAAAGGTGGACCTATTTAGTGGACTGACACAGCAATTTAAAGCGGTACCTGGCAACGGTGCAGCGGCGTCATTTGATGATAAAAATTGAAATGAAAAAGTCACAGCAACTCAGCTTCAGATGTTCATAGGCATGCGCAAATTAAAAGCAGCAATTGCTCTGCAGGTAGTATTTAGTGAAGGTGTAGCAGCGGCACCAGCAATAATAATTATAATAATGAAGAGTAGCATAAATCGCACAAGTCCAACTCCATTGTTCGAGAACTGTGCGAGCAAAGAATGGCCGGAGTCAGGAATTCCATTTGTAATGCAAAAGCACTCCCAACATTTGTTGCAAAGTTTTTTTCAGTGGAAAGGGCACGGATGAACGAATACACACAATCATGAAGACACTAGGTTGTGTGAGGAACTTCGATAGCTTCGGAGTGCTGGGCACAAATGAAGTTTTGTAGAGAAAAGTGGCCTTAGGTGGTAAAAACAAATTTCATTTTACATGCAAACAGTTTTAACTATCAACCATGCCGATGTTTCAAAATTTGGATTGTGCGGCTGTAAGGGCAAAATTATGCTCTGCATTTGAACGACCCACGGGAATACAGTGTACAGCATATCAAAGAGACAAAAAAGAAAAGAATTAACTGGTAATGCGCCACCGTGAAGTAACCAACAAAGCAAAGCATTATTGAGACAAGCAAAGTGCCTAACAACTTAAAAGCGTAGCAGAATTGCAGCACACGCAGTTGCCAATGCTATTTAGGGCAGTTCATATTGCATGCAAGTAAGTGGAGGGCAAAGTAGTGATAACGAAATTCGTAGTAATTTACAGATAAGCTGCAATGTAAATATTGTGTAATGCTGACGGCTTTTACAGTTATTGCATTTCGTCATAATTTGGGTCCTATTTAATGATCCGCTGCATTTATGGTGACCTTAAGGGTGCGTTTTAGTCATCCAAACTGTTGGTTTGAGGTTTTATTTGCGTGCAAACTCCCTTCCCTATTTATTTGACGCTTTTTTTGAATGTCACTACTATCGGTTGTTTGAGCTCAGGACATGATGATGTAGGGTCGACAGATTGGATGACATGCGGCTAGGTGAATGTCAGACAAAATGGCGATACGGGATGATAGAGATGCAAGGAAAAGGAGTAGAGATTCACTACTCTATTCACCTCTACTTGGTCTTTTAGCATGCGCTTTGTGGGTAAAAGAAAGAGGTAGTCTTCTATACTGCAAACAATTGGTGCCACACAATGAATGTGCCAGCGTTTTCTTGAACCGATTTAACGAGATAAGGTCAAAGATCATGACTTGATTGTACAATAAGACCGATGGTCGTGAATGGATGCCTATCGCTAAATCTGAAAAGCAGAGTGAGCGAAACCCACCTGGCCGACTGACTCTACAAATCGAGGAGAGCTGAGAAACTAATCTATTCATTCGCTCTGACTCACGAATCCTTCCGGATGAGTATTGCCTTGCATAGTGTGATTGAGGAACTGGATGCATAGCTTTTGATAAACTCCACCTCTCAGCCGGTTTGATTGTAGAGGCGCAGATGTTGCTGTTCATTTGATGAAAAGGTAGAGGCCAATGACATCTACTGCGCGGTCTTCGTTGACGATTTATGGCGACTTCTCAGGCGCAACTCTGTTTTTTCACTTTAACTTTTATGCTAGGCAGGAGTTTTCAGTTGTGCATATTTGTTCGGCTTTATTGTCAAGGACGAGTATGTGGTATGTTTATAGTAGTAGAAGCAATAATAATGGTGGTGTGGTGGCACTTTCAAGTGTATTAATGGAGTTGAATCACCCTTGGTGTGCTGTAAGGGCACCCCTCCGTCTCATGCAACAGTAGCATGATAATATACTAAGACGAACTTAAAAATCTAACCACGATTGTTGTAACGGTGCGTAGTGGTGTAGGGATCAGTCCATGTGTTCCTCGTCGCCTTAAGGGTATTGGAGGAGATAGATGAGGTGTGCAAGCTGAGCTCGTTCGTGGAGCAAGTGGCGGGTGGTGGGAGGGTGCGCAACATCACAATGACTGCATCTTTGCAAAATGCGCCACGTTGTCGGTTGTGAGGAATAAAATTGCGTATTTTATAGTTTATATCAATAACACACAAATCGGCAGTTGTGTCAAGAGTTCGATACGAAGGTATTGGTGGTAATGCATTTAGTTGGACAGAATTGCGTCCATTGGGTACGCATATAGAACGGTGCGTTCACCTTTGAGCTATCTTCTAAGATTTAATTTAAAAAATGCTTCTTTTAAGTGGTAGAGCTCTAAGCTCGTCGTACTGCCAGGATATTACTTGGACGGCGTAGATGAGATTGAGATTTCATAGCATCGGAATCAGCAGGTGGACATGACAGCTTTTGGCCTGTTTGAGAACGCTGCTGTGGTGTCACGACACCTCTAGGTCCAGTCGGCAGACTTATGCGTCTTTCGGACTAGCGATGTCTCAACTCCGTGTAGGCGAATTGAGTAAAAGTTTTAGCTCAAGCTATTAATTAAATGGTGCAAAAATGTGAGGTTGCGGCCTTAAAAATCCCTTTTGAATCAGCAGTTTCAAATTGCCCTGCCTTGTTACGAATAAACTTCAACTTGAGTAGGCACTAGCCTGAGAGTAACAGTGAAACACTTATAATGACTAACTTATGACCAAGGCCTACAAAATAATCGTAAATTTTAGCGTCGCTCGGAGGAAATTGTGGTGACTCTAAGACTAGAAATGTCGCGTTGCTTAACCAGGCGCTTATGTTTTGCTTAAAGCAGCCACAAATTCTTTCGTTTCTTCTTTTTGAAGGGTGGGATCCTGCGCGCTTACTCTCTGTCGGCTTGTTGAGGCAGGTGTCAGCTCATCCTACCCCTTGTCACATAAGTCAAATAGTCTTGAAGACCAAGTCGCATTCAGTAATAATAGTAGGTTGTAGACTACAGAAAGGGTAAAATCTCAAGTGGTGACGGCACACATGTAATTTATACTCCTGGCACCTATAATTCTGGTGACTGCATTTACGTATTACCAACCCTCTACACCTTTGCGATATCCAAGGTGCATTTTCATGAACCGAGAGTTTAGATGCGAAGAGAAAGAAGGTGGTGGCTTTAAGTGGCGCAGGACTTGGAGCCTCCTGATGTCCAAATATGTTTTCAAAGGCCAGCAACATTGCGTTTGTTGGGTTAAACGGTGGAAGTGCTGGTACTGAGATAAGGTAGGACAGTGTAGCTGGTGACGAATGGTCTACAACAGCTTGCCCGAATATGTCGCAGGAAATGGTCAGCCGATCTTAGCTGACCCCTAAAATGTTAATGTGTGAGAAAAATGTCAGTAACTAAACATTCGTGTACAATACGAATTGGAGTTAATTGACACCACGAATTAGCATGCTTGGGCGAGGATGCAGGCTCGGAGTGTTGTGGACAGCAGCTACTGCTAATGTGGCAGCAGCTTTGATGAAGGCTTACAGTAGAGTGATGATTGCAGAAGCCACCCTAACAGTTGCCATCCTTAATCCCTTCACCCTAGTAATAATGACGGGTGGTTTTAAGAACCATTTCGGTTCTATATGACCACACTTGTCACGATCACTACTTGGTACGTGCTTTTATCTTTCATGTTGCTGCTTGTTTGCAACATGAGTGCATTTCCCAGTCACTTCTCTGGTGAACAAAAGCCTTGGAAAGAGTGGATGATCCCCGTGGCGTGGCTATCTTTCCGCGTTTTGTTCGTCGCTAATAAAAGGCTGCATCTTCTATGTGCGATGGACCTCAAAAGGAAATCCTCTCACTACTAAAAAGTCGACTTGAATCTGAGAGTGGATGAGGAGATTTCTTTGTCCCTAGTCTGTGGGTAATTAGATTTTTTACCAATAGTAACCCGAATGAAGTGTGCTGGGACTGCCTCAGCGGGTGTTGATAGTGACTCCATACTTGACATTATTTTTGGAACGTTTTCTTATCCAATGACGTGTCTGGATGTGGTAATGCCTTTCACTTTCAAGATTTTATCTTCAATGATTGTTAATTTTGTGAATGGTGGTGCTCCGCTATATTTGATCCATCCCTCTAAATGTGATGCTTCATTTGTGCATTAGTGAGGGACAAAAGAAGGGAAGGAGCGGTTCCATGGGTAAGTCGTGCTATTTGTAGTTCCTCGCCTTCCTCGTACTAGTTCTTCTTCACTGTAGCAACCTTAGACACACCATTGGGTAGAAGAGGGGATAAACATGCATTCAAGGAGAAGAGGAAAGAGATCGGACAGCCTAGAGCCACGTGTGTACCGATTGGACCCTTATTATGTATTATGAGCAAGCTGTTATACTCCTCCTCCCCCTTCTTCGCCCGATGCCCACAGTGCTCCCCTCGACGTACTTCCCACGTCAGCCATCACAAAGCACTCAATGCAGCAAGCCAACAATCGTGTCCGGGACTGGACGTTGGAATGCTTGTGTAAAAAGGATTCAAACGCACTCTCGTGTGGGATCGTGTTCCCACCTCTCGGGCTTATAAGTTTACTCAGTGATCACCAACACGTCAACGCACGGTGGTTTCTCGGTAGTCTGTTTGGTCTTCAGATGACTCACAAAGGATGGACTAACAAAATGACTTCTAATACATCAATCTTGCTTTTTACCCCTTCATCTCGACTGCAGCCCCATCCCGTGTCGTCAACGCCTGACACAAGCTCCCACAATGATGAACCAATCATTCAATGGAGTCAAGGTGAGCGCGTGTTTTGGCACCCAAAACAGACTTTCAAAGGAGAAGCTTTTGGATTCGTGTCCTTCAAAGTGACCCACTTGACAGCGCAAGACCGTTATTTCAACACTAAAAACAAAATTTTGTATTGTTCTGTCAAAATGCAACAATGGAGTGATGAAGTTGTGCAAGAGCAATTTCAACGAAAGTATCTATGTAATGCCACCATAGCTGGTCTTCTCTCCTTGTTCACCTCCTCGTAAAGGTCATGATCAAACATGCTCTTCTCGTCTAAAATGGGAATTTGGAGTTTATGAGCAACCAGTCCCAAGAACACGTCCTCTGGAGCATAGTTGTGTCGCGTGTAGGCCGTTCCAATGGCCATGTCGTCGACCACTCCAGGTCCGATTATCTGAGCGAAGCCACGAAGGTACGGACACATCCTGTCCCATGGCACTTCACGATAGGAGAGGTAGCGTCGCTTACCTGGCGACCGGTTAGCCATGTCGTATGTAGCTACGTAGCCGAAGAGGGAGTTACGCCTTATTTCCATGGGAACGCGTTGCATAAATTCATCCACCATGGAGAGATTGACACGATGGTCGTCATCCATAGTCATGAAGAGCTGGACATTGTCAGAACCACAGAAGGCGGACATCCAACGGAAATTGGTGATGCTTTTGAAGGTCAGGTTGAAGTAGGTGTCCTCGTAGTCCGCCAACACAATGTCGTCGTGAGTGGCTATCTCCTCATGTATCCTCTCCATCACCTCATCCGCCTTGCCTTCAAAGGCTTCCAGTTGGTCGCCATCAAGGCCGGTTAGATTCATGACATGGCCGTCTCGATTAAATAGCCTTCCACCGCGCTTGCGCGGAATGCCCAGACTGAAGACGTAGCCGACAGTGAGGTTGGGGCATCGTTCCCTCTCCAAACGCATGAAGTCGCGAAAGACGTTGCGCGTGTGCCATCGCAGAATGCTACTCTTGATGATGAGTACCAAGTCGTGTTTGGAGCCAGCGTGGCAAACTGATTTGCTGGTAGCTAGGAGTCGAATGGGAAAATTGTACTTTGGCACCTGAAGCAAGTGAGGGGAAAGTGCACCTCATCATTGAGATGTCATAACATGCCTCAATGCATTAGCAGGGTGAGCATGGATGCCGTAGTCGTCTGACCAGGGTAATGGTGGGAAAACTTTGAGATTGCAAGCCTTCTAAACTTTAGGCGATTGTTAATCAAAGACGTGCTAACAGGAGGTTCTAATGAAGATGCTAGCAGCATAAATGTGCTCAGGTGATGGTTTAGATGATAAAATTCACCTGACTTCGGTGGTGAAAGATTGACACGGCAGTGGTGGTAGCTGACTTTTACAGTGCTGTTTTCATGCTCCCTGCAACCGCCTTAAGAAGGTTCGGGCTCGATTGCACAATTCTAGCATCTACCACATTTTAAGCCTTCACCAATGCCCCTTTCTCATTGTGATGTGCTTTGTGGTAAGGATGTGGTTGAGGCTGTGACACTTACTAACAAAAATAAGGGGCTTTTGGTGAGGTAGGTTGAGCAATAAAATACGCAGATCGGTGTGTCACCTTCCCTCATTTCCTGTCAACGTGTAAAGTGCCCACTAAAATGCGATAGACGGCGTGGCAAAGGTGTTCTCGCATGCCCTACTAACTGCACAATCCCAACCCTCGTATGGAACGCATCTCGTTGTGCCTCAAACTTAGCAGTACGACAAGAGGGGAGTGGCGGAGATGTGGGAAAGGAAACGGGTGAACTTACATAACTAACTGGATTGCCAGCTTTGATGTCCCTCACGATTTGCCTCAAAGGAACGTCTTGGGGATAAGTTTGGTATATCGTCGGATAGTTTACACTCATCCACAATTTCTTAGGAAGTGTCGCGAGGTCTTTAAACGACACTCGATGCCACGGAATAGATCCTCGAAATAGCTGTCTCATGCCATAGACCTTATTTTCGTCGTTCATCAATGCGTTGACTGTCGGTCGCACACAAATGCTGATGTCGAAGCCGCCTTCCCAGTGGTCAGTTTCATTCACAGTTGTGGGAGGCCATCTACACGAAGAGTTTTCTGTACAGTTCGTCAGTGTCACCTTGTCTTGCCGTCTCCAAGTGCTTGTCTTCGATATCGTCAGTATAAATATGCACAAGGGTACGAAAACTAACCGAAGACAGCTCATCAACCTGAAGCGCATGACTGGTTCTGCCATTTTTTCACATTTACCGTTCCAATTAAATAGCTTTGAGAGCCCCATTCACATAGGCTCATTTAAAACAAGCACAATTTCTAGGAGACGTGTGCAGTCCTGTGAATGTGTGATTGTGTGGGAGCAGCCATGAGAACGGGTGGTTGCAAACAACAAAATTTAAGCGGTCACTTGCTTGGCTCTCGACTCGACGCGCTGAGATGTTTAAAAGATACATTGTTCTATCGTTGAGTCTCTATCTAACCTCAGAATCCGGTGACCTCCGAATGCATGGGGTGGGGCATCCGCTAATGGTCAACGCTTGGTTAGTCGCGTCAGCCACCAAGTGATGATGGAGGGATGAAAAAGGAGGAAGGGTAGAGAACTTTACCAACTGATTTGATGTGTGCAAAGCGTCTTCTTCTCACTTCCATATCCAGTATTAATAATTGTAATCCACCATAATAAGATGACACATGTGTCCTTACCTGCAGTATGTAAAGTGATTTGATCGACAGATAGCAATTACTTCCGCTATCAAATTGGAGGTTATAAAATAGTGCCATTTCTTACCAATTCATATTGATAATAAAGCATGGCAAAAGTAACCTCGTGACGACAGTACAACCTCAAAAATGCCTTTATAACTGCTCTTGTAAACAACCAATCGGGATTGAGATTTCAAGGTCGCTCGAAATAAGGGCACCTTCCGGTAACTTCCGTTGCTTGTGTCACTTAAAACAGTGCTTGTGGCAAGTTCAATAATAATTGCCTTGATTATAGTTTAAAG